CGGGCCCTTAGGCTAAGAAGTGAACTGACATCCTTGTTCATAACTGATAATTGCTCATGATGTTATTCAATTATAGATTTGCCTATTTGGAGCGCCAAAGACCATAAGTATGGTTCTCTAATACAGGCGTTGCAACTATCAAGCATGCATAATTTCCGAGAGAGAGAGAGAGAGGGGAGAGAGAAGATAGATTTATGACTTTTGCAGCCCATCTCATGCCTTCCTTTGTTGAACTATATAAATTATCTCTTTGGAAATAAATAGCACCGGCTTTGGGAACACTAATACAATCAATCTCTTCCTGGATGGATGGATAGTCACATGACAAATGGCCAAGAGCCTCAGCCCAGATGTCGTATTTTCCAAGGATTTCTTGCCAGAGTCTACCCTTTGCTTTACTGACTGCAAACAGAAGACTTACAAAACTCTAGTTTCTATCATCCAATGCAAAATGAAATAGGAAGACTGTTTTTTTGCCTGTTGTGACAATAACACAGGACCAGTAAAATAATGACACCAGGCTTACAACAGCAAGGCTTTGAAGGTGCTGGTCATGGGAATTTTTTCTACAGCAGTCTCGTGACCACCATTTAAAAGGCATAAACTGGGGCGCCTGAGTGGCTCAGTCTGTTGAGCGTCTGCCTTCCGCTCCGGTCGTGATCCCAGTGGGATTGAGCCCCACATTGGGCTCCCTGCTCAGCATGGAGCCTGCTTCTCCCTCTGCCTCTACCCCTGCTTGTGTTCTCTCTCTCTTCCTGTCAGATAAATAAACAAATAAAATCTTTTAAAAAAGTATAAATTGTTTAAACCCAATTTTTTGTTTAATTTTCAACACCATGGTCTATCTTGTATTAATTTTTCACATAGTCCCAGATAAGATTGTTAAATTTCAGTTGATCCGGATTATGATGATATACAAACTGAGGTAGGGCCAAGTTTACCTCAGCCTGTTGGGTCCAAAGATTATACTCCTGACTCACATAAATTTTAATCCAAATACTATATGCTCCTTCTGAGAGATGTTATTTTTTTTTTTTTCCCCAGACAATAGAATGGTGCCTCTAATTGGAGGATGGGGATGTCTCTGCATCCTTGTTGACTGCGGCTCTCACAGGGATACTGACAGCTTTGGTTGGCTAAATTAAATGGATGCACATAATTGCCAATCTAGTGTTAGGATGCACTGTCCAGGCTCCCCCCACTGTCCGGAGTCATCCACTGCAGTGCATATTTCCGTTGAGAGCAAAGGCAGGTATTTTTATTGAACCTCCTGGACTTCCAAAGTGAGCCAAGAATTATGTAAATCATGCTGATTACATATGGAATATATGCACAGCAAGTGTCCCCTTATCTATCTGTGGTTTCGCTTTCCGCAGTTTCAGTTGCGCGGTTGGCCGTGGTCCCGGAGTAGATGATCCTTTTTCTGACAAATCGTAAGAAGGTCAATAAGTAGTCTAACTCGACGTCACAATGCCTACGTCATTCACCTCACTTCATCTCAGCAGCAGGGTTTTTATTCTCTCACATCATCACAAGAAGGGTGAGTATAGTCCAATGAGATATTTTTATAAAGAGACCACATTCACATAACTTGTGTTACAGTATATTGTTATAATTGTCCTATTTTATTATTGGTTATTGTTAATGCCTTATTGTGCCTAATTTATAAATTAAACTTTACCACATGTACGTACATATAGAAAAGAAAAAACAGTATAAATAGGGTTTGGTACGATCCCAGCATCCACTGAGGGTCTTGGAACATAACCCCTGTGGACAAGAGGGATCTATTGTAATGCAGATTAATGAGGACGTTACGTATTTAATTGCTTGGAAGAAAAAAAGTGAACTAATATTTATAAGAATCACATTTAGACATTGTAACTTCTTAAGCAGGTCTTAGACTCATTGAGTCTTTGTAAGTAATATTTTTTTACACAGCCTGATTGGTGTATAATTGAGATACAATAAACTGCACATATTTAAAGTGTATAATTTGATGAGTTTTGACATATGTGTATCCCTATGAACACAATCAAGGTGATGAGCATACCATCAGCCTTAAAAATTTCCTCCTCCGCTAGGAAACCACTGATCTTCTTTCCTGCTATCACTGTAGATTAGCTTGCATTTTATAAATTTCACATAAATGTCTGGCTTCTTTGACTGCAGACTGCTTCCTCTGTGTTGCTGCATGTACTAATAGTCCCTTCCTTTTTCTTGCTGAGCAGTATTCCATTGTAGGGCTATTCTACAGTTTGTTTATGGACACTGACCTGTTGATGGTTGTTAGAGTGGTTTCCAGCTATTACAAATAAAGCTGCTATGAACATTCATGTACAAGCTTTGTATGGACATATGTTTTTATTTCTCTTGGGTAAATGCCTAGGGGTGGCATGGCTGGATCATCTGGTAGCGTATGTTTAACTTTTTATAAATTGCCAAACTGTTTACCAAAGTTTTCATACTATTTTATATTCCCATCAGTGAGAGTCCTAGTTACTCCACATTCTTTTTTTTTTCTTTAAGATTTTATTTATTTATTTGAGAGAGAGAGAGTGAGAGAGCATGAGCGAGGAGCATGAGGGAGGAGAGGGAGAAGCAGACTCCCTGCTGAGCAGGGAGCAGGACGTTGGGGTGGATCCCAGGACCCTGGGATCATGATCTGAGCCAAAGGCAGACACTTAACCAGCTGAGCCCCCCAGGAGCCCCGTTACTCCACATTCTTGACTTGTGGCCAGTCTTTTAAAATTTTAACCATTCTAATAGTAGTGCCGTCTTCTTGTGGTTTTAATTGATATTTCCCTAATGACTAATGATGTTGAGCATTTTCTTTCTTATGTGCTTTTTTTTTTTTTTGCCACTAGTTTTTTGCCACTATATTTATGGGTGTATACCTAAGTCAAGATTAAGAAACTATGTTTCATTTTTTTGAGCTATTTCTTCAGGTCTTTTGACCATTTTTTTTTAAATTGTTTGCTTATTATTGAATAGTGAGAGTTCCTTATATATTCTGCGTAGAAGTCCTTTATCAGATATATATGTTTGCAAGTATTTTCTCCCAGTCTGATGCTTGTCTTTTCATTTTCATAGCTGTGTCTTTGGAGAACAGTTTCTAATTTTGATGTAGTCCAGGTTATCAATTTGTTAAGTTTTAAATTTTGATGTAATCCAATTTATTAATTTGTTCTTTATGAATGATAGTATTGTATCTAAGAAACCTTTGCTTAAAGTCACAAAAATTTTCTACTGTGTTTGCTCCTAGAAGCTTTGTAGTTTAAAGGCCTTTAAATTTAGGTCTGTGATCTGTTTTTGAGTTAATTTTTGAATATGGTGCAAGGTGTGGATTGAAGTTCGTGCTTTTGCAAATGGATATTCAATTGTTCTCATACCATTTGTTGAAAGAACTATTTTTTCTTTACTGAATAGACTTTGTACCTTGTTGAAAATTATTTGTCTATAGATATGTGCTTCTGTTGTTGGACTCTGTTCTGTTGATCTACTCGTGTATTTTATTTATTTATTTATTTTTATTTTTTTAAAGATTTTATTTATTTAATTGACAGAGAGAGAGAGAAAGAGACAGTGAGAGAGGGAACACAAGCAGGGGGGAGTGGGAGAGGGAGAAGCAGGCTTCCCGCTGAGCAGGGAGCCCGATGCAGGGCTCGATCCCAGGACCCTGGGATCATGACCTGAGCCGAAGGCAGGTGCTTAACCGACTGAGCCACTCAGGCTCCCCTACCTGTCTATTTTAAATCAGCATGACACTGTCTTTATTACTGTGGCTTTGTAAATCTTGAAATCAAGTACGGTAAATCATCCAACTTTGTTCTTCTTTTTCAAGGTTGATTTGGCTATTTTAGGTCCTTTGCATTACCATATAAATTTTGGAATTAGCTTCTCAATGTCTATAATAAAGCCTGTGGGAAATTTGATTGGGGGTTATATGGAATCTATTAATTTGGGGAGAAATGACATTTTTTTTGACCCATGAAGAAGGTATACCTTTCCATGTATTAATTTAAAAAATTTCTCCCAATAGTGTTTTGTAGTGTGATAGCTTCTCTAGGTGCCCGCAGCTGCAGCTGGTTTGATGCCGTACCCTTTCCTGGCTTCCTTCCCTGTCTCATCTTAACTTCCCCATCCTGCCCAGGAACCCTTACCTCGTGGTCTGCTTTGGAGGGAACCCAAACCGAAACAGTCCACCACCAGTAGATCCGGACACAGCAGCAAACACGTTTTATTTCGAGATTATGGAGGAACATAGCAGAAGAAGCATCTAACAGACTGACAAGTAGTTACTTCTAGGGAACAGGACTAGAGTAGGAAGGGGTAGAACAGAGGACTGATGTCTTCAAATAGGTACCTGTCCATGTGCTACTTTATTTTTTGACAGGAAGTAGGATTTATTGGTGGGCGTGAATAGGGAGGGAGCAGTGCCGAGGTTCTCATGAGTGCAGAGCCCTCCATTTGTCCAAGGGGCCAGGATTAGGGATGTATTTTTTTTTTTTTAAAGATTATTTATTTATTTGAGAGAGAGAGAATGAGATGAGAACACATGAGAGGGGATAGGGTCAGAGGGCAAAGCAGACTCCCTGCCGAGCAGGGAGCCCGATGCGGGACTCGATCCAGGGACTCCAGGATCATGACCTGAGCCGAAGGCAGATGCTTAACCGACTGAGCCACCCAGGCACCCTAGGGATGTATTTGACCCCATAGCCATCTGGGATGAGCCGCTTCAAATTCGTCTGCATTAAATTTAGTAAAGCCCCACTTCTTGGAGATATGGATCTTCTGGTGGCCAGGGAACTTGAACTTGGCCCTGTGCAGGGCCTCAATCACATGCTTCTTGTTCTGTGGCTTGGTACGGATGGACATGATGACTTGGCCAATGTGGACGCTGGCCACTGTGCCCTGGGGCTTTCCAAAGGCACCCCGCGTACCTGTCTGCAGCCTAGATTGGAGATAGCATGAGGTCAGACCTCAGTGTCCACTGGAAGAGCTGTCTCCAAGGTCCCTTTGGGCAACCCATACAATCAACAGGCTGCATACACTACCAAGGAGGCTCCTGTTTGCAGCCATGGCACACGGGGCCCCCATGGAGAAAGAGCACACTTGGCTTAATTGGTTGCAGACATGTGCTACTTTAATATAAATTTAAAACAAGCATTTAAAACATAAAGCGAACTAGAATAGTGTGACAAATGGAATCAAAAGAAGAGAGCACAAACATATCTGCATAGCCTGGCCTGGGATCCAGCTCCCAATCCCTTAACTTTATTTGAACATGTCAATCATTTTTGAGTGGCAGCCATAAACTGGGATAAGTTATTGCATGGGTATGAAGAGCTGAAAAATGCTCTCTGTGCAGAAAATTCACAAGTACAACTTTAATCATAATAATGGGGGATAAGTATACTTCGCACCTTGTGTTTTCACCGTGTAGGAAAAGACACACAGAATACAATTGGTAATCACTGTGGCAATGGGAGGGGATTTGTTAAGTAAAAACACTCCGTGTACTTCATGAGGCACTACTTGATGAAGGGGTTTTATGTAGGGCGCCACTGTGTAGTTTTCATTTATAGGAAGGAACGTTTTGTGTCTGGGGTTTGGCATATTGTTTGTAGCTGGGGCTGGGTAGTCTATGGATAGTACACCATGTCCCGAATGGACGTTATGGCTCCAGGACTCCATTTACAGAAGCGGTTCTCGACAGCCACGAGGCCCTGGCACAAAACTATTTCAAGTAACCAGCCTTGGCCTATATCCTCCACTAGGTGGCGGACTTCTCCCAGTTCTGCCGGCCGCCGGCTCTCTTCGCGCTGCTTTCTCCCTTTGCGTCCACCTGGAAAATCACTGGGCTGCCTGGGGCCAGATTTAGATTTCCAGCACAAACCATCATTACCTTGGTTAGAGGAGTGAAGGTAGGGTCAGTCTGTTGGGATTCCAGGAGAGGTGACAAAGAAGGTCCTTTATATGTAGCACAGGAGAGAAAGACTTGTTCTTATTTTTTTAGACAATTTTTCAAAAATTGAAAAATTCCATGTTTTTCAAGTCAAATTACAAACGATTGGGAAAAAAAAAAAACCCCACAAGTATTACCGGTCCTATGTAGGATTATAGTTAAATGTTCAGATATGAACGTTGCGACCATAGGAGATATTTTGAGATATTTGTTTTCATAGGGTGTTGAATCTTTTTTCATTTGCTTAAAATAATTTGAGAAGTGTACTCATAATTCCAGCTTGAAGTGCAAGGGCAGTAAAATAAGTGTAAAAATAAAATAAAACAAACAAGCAAAATGCACCACAAAATTGAATTTGCTCCATTCTCTTTTAGGTTTTTTTTTTTTTTTTTTTTAAAGAAGTTGTTTTCATTGATTCGTGTGGTTCTCTGGTTGACATGTTTTGAAAGACCTACAATTTAGGTTTCAGATGGAGATTGAGATAAACATGCTCTGTTGTATCCCTGGAACAATGAGCATCAGAAGAAGAATTTAATAAGAAAATCAGGCAACTCAATCTGTATTTTTGGGTTAATCTGGAGTATTCATGAATTCCATTAAACAGGTGGAAATATTTACAAATTTCGATCAGAGGAAAATAGAAATTAGGGTGGGGAAGAGAACTGTTAGATTCAGTTGTGATGTGGGGACACCCCCCTGACAGGGTCTACCAGATGTTTACCTGCTCCCCCCACCCCACCGCATAATGGGAACTGAGAAAAAGTGCCAGGCCCTGGCCTCCTTTGCTTCTTCCTTTCTCCTTCCTCCCCCACACCACTCCTCGAGTGTTTTTAAGCAATGCTTCTTTACTTCCCAATTATCTCTTTCCTCTTGTTAACTTAGCATTAAAAAACTGCAGACGGGTCACCCATGAGAAGGCTATACACCACAGCCTGCATACCTTTGCAAGAAAAGGGAGCAAAAATTGAAAAAGAAAGTCCAAGGTGATGAAACCGACCTTGTTACATTGTTAAACTTCTTCAAGCCGGCCTGAAACTGTGATGAGCTTCTTAGCTCATTTCCCTCAAAATTCACAGAAAAATGTCTGCGCTCGAAAAGAAAACACAGAGGATCCAGAGCTGAGACCTGGTGATATTCTGGCCAATTTTTTAGCCAGTGGTAAGATTTTCTCACCAAATGATCACTATTTAAAACGAATAAAAGAGATTCTATAAAAATGAGAAAGAAAATGAAAGTAAAGATTGAGATTATAAGGCTTGTTCACAAGAATAGAGCATAGTGATATAGCTTCCCAGTTTTAAGTCTTATTATTGTTTATTTTGATTTGGGGAAATTTTTAGCGTGTGATACCGATTCTGAAATCTACTTGATAAACACTGGTTAATACTAATGGTTTTCACCAGGTCTCTCTTTTTAAAGCCCTAACACAGTGGCTAGAAAACTTAGCAGCACATTAGAACCACCTGGGTGGGGGCCAGGAGTGGATTTTATTTATTGATTTTTTATGGGTTTTTCCCCCCAAGTTTTTATTTAAATTCTAGATAGTTAACATATAGTGTAATATTGGTTTTTTTCCCTTACACATTGTTTTTTTCCCAGTGCTCATCACAACAAGTGACCTCCTTAATACCCACCACCCATTTAGCCCATCCCCCTGCCTTCTCCCAGGAGTGGCTTTTAAAAGTCTCAGGCCATACTCCAGATCATTTAAATAAGAATCTCTGGGGGTGGGATGTGGACACCAGAATTTTTTTTTTTTTAAAGATTTTATTTATTTATTTGAGAGAGAGAGAATGAGAGACAGAGAGCACGAGAGGGAGGAGGGTCAGAGGGAGAAGCAGACTCCCCGCCGAGCAGGGAGCCCGATGCGGGACTCGATCCTGGGACTCCAGGATCATGACCTGAGCCGAAGGCAGTCGCTTAACCAGCTGAGCCACCCAGGTGCCCGGACACCAGAATTTTTAAAGGCGCTGTCAACCCAGATGATTCCAATGTGCAGCAAAGGCTGAGAACCACTGCAAACTGGTTGCCTCCTGACCACAGCATATAAATGATCTTATGAATGGTTGAGATGAAAGGATATCAAGAGGGTGATGCTCTCCAGTGCCCTCCAACGGAGAGGAGACTGGGAAGGAGAGCTGACAGGATTAGCTGACAGATGAGTTAGAGGTTTAACAGAAATTGTTGAGTCACGTTTCTGAACCGAGAGAGAGAATGACGAAGCTGCCTTTTATTGAAATGGGGAGACTGCATGAATCCCAAAAAAGATGGGGCCAATTGGGGAGGTGGAGAACTGGGTTTGGGACATATGAAATTTGAGATGCCTATGAGGTAGCCTAGGCAAAAATTCAAGAAGGCAGTTCTGGAATCCAGGCTTGACACACACATCTGGGAGTCTTCAGCATGGAGATGGCATTTAAAGCCAAGAGATCAGATGGTTACCTAAGCAGTAAGTGTAGGTAAGGGGGAGGAGATAACGGGCTGAAGACCAAGGCCTGGTGCAGCTTCCAGTGAGAGGTCAGAGTGATGAGGAGGCAGCAGTGGTGAGTTAGGAGGAAAGCCAGAACGTGGGGTGCTTTGGAGGTCACATTAGGTAAGGTGAAGACTGAGAACGGACCCCTTGGCTTTCACTCCACGGAGGTGGCCAGAGGAAGGAGAGGAAGAGAGGTGCGTGACAGCAGAGCAAATCCTACCACACCACACCAGATTTTCTCCAGCAGTGTTTAACATCAGATAGCTCGGCGATTCACCTAGGGTTCAACAGGCAACGGGTATGAGGGCACAGAGAGCAAGGGAAGGTGGTGATCCCTTAGGACTTTGGAATCAAAGTAACATAACGGGAGGGGAGACTGTTGCATAGAGAAGGGTGTGGGTTGATGGCCCACAGGTCCTAAAGGATCTGAAGAACAGAGGTAGTAGGAATGATTGCAGATAACCTGGGAGGAGAGAGCTTGGGCCAGATTGAGATTTTGAGTTATAACTCTGACAGAGTAACAGTGTGGGGTGAGAACAATTTCTAGTGATCTAGCTACTTAAAGTCTTCAATGAATGAGAGGGAGTAACCAGGAAGTAGGAAAAAATGTTGAAGACAAAGGGAATAAGTGGTCAAAGGCAGGACCTTGGTGGAGCAGGCCTTTAATGAGAGGGTGCATGTGGACAATGGTCTCGAAGTTGAAGAGATGAGTGAGGAGCACCCATATCCACCCCCTACCCTGCAGAGGGCCAGGGGTGTCCTCATGGGAGAGGTAGGCTCTCCAAGGAGAGGGGAGGATGGGAGAGGCGGGGTGTGAAGCTACAGAGCTACAGAGCTTTATAGGCTAAGGCTTTAGGGAAGCTGATGAGGGGGAGAATTTAAGATACGGGAGGATGGTGAGTGGAAGTAGGAATGTGAGCAGTGTTGACGCCTGCCAGTCTCCCTCCCCTGTCAGGTGGGGGCTCTTTGGAGCTTGTGTTCCCAGGGGTGCTGTGGCCAGAGGCAGAGTTCTGCTTTCTGGCTGTCACAGAGGGGAGCAAGAAGGCAGAGCTGAGAAATTCCATCCTGGAGGGACAACAAGTCCAAACTGAATCATCCGTCCACGTTACTAAGAAAGTATGAGGCCATGGCACCAACCTCAAATGGCAGGGTGTGGAAGAACCTGGAAACAGAGTGGGAGAAATCATGGGATGGGCAAGCAGGAGAGGGCCTGGGAGCATCCTGGAGACAGAGTGATGACCTGCTTTTTTGTGCCATGACTTTTCAAATCAAGCCTAACGAAGTGTGGTGTGGGTGGGCATGGTTCGTTTACAAGGGCGGGAATGGGATGAGCGGAAGGCATGGTTTCAAAGAGTAGTAATTACTACACAATGACAAAATTAGAAAGAATGAAAGGAAATTAAATGTTGTAAAATAGGCTGTGCCTTTTGAATCAAGAAGAGCCACTTAAGCTGTTTGATTATGTAATATTTCATTCATTAGGCATTGAATTACCTCTGGCTGTATGTACTGTTTCTGTGAAGTTAATTTTTATTCCATTATGAAAGAATTAATCAAATCCAGTGAAAGAACATCTGTCCTCATTGCTATCTACAGGAGGAGGGGCGTGAACCAAAAGTCTTTTTGTGGTTTAATATTTTTGATTTCAGCTTAATAAAGAAGAGGAGCCTGGGGGATAAAAAAAGAGGTCAGG